TTTTTTTTTCGTTCTGTTCTTCCGTGAACAGCTACACCTTACTTGTTGCTGCAGTACTTACAAAAGTCGAAGTGCCAAAATTCTCAGCCACGAATTATATAGTCAGCCATCTGCAATGCACTCTCTTTTTCTTTTTATCTTTTTTTAAATAACCCAGGAATATCACGGCGAGGCTTGTTCTGTCTTCATTTTCTTTTTCTTTTTTTCTTTTTCTTTTTTTTCCTGTGCTTTTGGGAACCGTAACACCCTACTAGTTGCTGCAGTACTTCCAAAAGTCAAGAACGCCAAAATTCCCAGAAAAACTGCAATGCTTCCAAACGTCAGGGCCGCACGTGTGTCCCAGCATGCTGCTATGAACAGGCCTGCCACGCTGGCATAAATTCACTCGAGTGGAAACGCCACAGCACTGTAGCAATGGCTTCAGCACATGCAGCCGCAGCTTTCAGAGTACTGGTGGCGTTTAAATGCACAAAAGCTCGAAAACGCGTCATGGCACCGGAGGAAGGAGAAAAGAAGCAAAAGCCCCCCTTCATCTTGCAACGGGGGGACTGAAACATGTGCTTCCTTCCAAAGTAGCTTGAGAGGGACAAAGATCCTTCGGGACATCCATTAAAATTGGAGCTATACAGAGGGGAATAGCATGCCCAAAAAAAAAAAAAAAAAAAAAAAACAAAGAAAGGGACAAAGACTCAAAGAGCAGATCTTTTCCAACACACTAAAAGAATGCCCGGCGTAATCGCAGATATTTTCCTTTGAATTTTTTCACAGGGCAGTGGCAGTTTCTTCTCGCATTCCATTCACTGGGTTTCAATTAGTGTGGGTGATTCCCAGCTTGACCGAACATACATGTCAGTCATATCTGTATCTGGCACGAAAAATGCCCTAAATACGAAATAGTAAATGCATCTACAATATAAGTGATAGACCTTCACAGGAAGACATTAGCATTGCACCAGGACTCTCTGAAGGTGGTGGCGGACAATAAAGTAATGTCTAAAAGCCTCAACATAATTTCATGCAGGGCAGGGGGATAGGGGTCCACTGGCATCGTGTTCTTGAGAAGAAACCATGATCCTCAATATGCTTTCATGCCAAGGAAACATGAACCTGGACATGCTTATCACAACTATTCTGCTTTTAATCACCTAGCACCCCGGGATCAACCGTAACCGACTCTTCAAGAAGAGCATCCTCCAACGCACCTCATCGACATCAAGGCCACATTCACTCGAGAAGGTCCAAAATGTGGATATATGCTTTGAAGCTCTCCCAGCCCGGGCGATCGACCCATAGTCGGGGTCTGGTATATGCCTCGACTTTCATATCCATTACCTACGCGGAAGCTGATGATTCTTGTTTTTCCCTTTTTGCACTCGCAGAGGATGTGCAATCTTGAGAAGTGTGATTGCAATTTTTTTATATTATTTTTTCATTTTAATATTCATGGTCCGATAGAACACGGATCAGATAAGAAACTAATCGGATTGACAGCAAACTCACTATCGTCGTTATACGAAAAATAAAATAAAAATACAGAGTTATCCTTTATTATCTCAGAAACTAGGCTACCAGAGTGGCCCGGAACTACTTGCCCGGCCGGGCAAAAAAAGAAAGAAAGGAGAATTTTAATTTTTAATTTCAATTTTTATTTTAAATTTTGTCACGAATTTCGATGTGACGCTGAGGCAAAAGTTGTTCAGTTTATTTTTCTGCATAATATAGTTCTTTTGTCGGATTTTTGGATTTTGTTTTTTATTTTATTTTTTGCTGCGACCTTCCATGGTCCTTGCACGGCCCCGGGCCGCCCGGGAAAATAGGTTGACCCGGGCGGCCCGGCTGGTAGCCTAGCTCAGAAACTAATAAAATACTGTAAAAAGAAAGAAAGAAGCAGAAGAAAAAGAAGAAGAAGACGAACTAGTAGTTATTGCCTTCCTATATGTTGCAAGTCATATCTGGTCATTCCAGTGTGGTCGAACACTATGCGCCCACGCGATGATATCTGGCTTCGAACAAGAACGAAATAAAAACAAAAACACACAACACATTACCCTTTCAGAATACCCAACCCTTTTTTTTTGGTGTGTGTGGGCGGGGGGGGGGGGGGGGGGGGGACGGGAAAAAAAAACGTTCCCTGACAGGACAGCTCGAGAACAAAAGGGAAATAAAAGGTTGTGTTGACGCTCCTGGCACTATTCCAATAACAGCTGCATATCTACCTCAAAGCACAGGCCGACCATTTTTTTTTCAAAATAGCCACAGCCAGCCTACCTTGTAGGTCTTCCACCATACAAGCACTATCTTCCCATTGTGCTTCCACCGGCCTCCGTCACCTACCTCACCCTTATGGTGGGGACCACCCTCCTGGGACCTCACATGCGCACACACACGAACACATAAACAAACATGCACAGCGCACACATGTGGGGCATGATGAAGAGTTCGAAGGAGGACAGCGGATAGAAGACGAGGAAAAGGATGACAATGAAACGAGGACTGTGGCAAAGGCATGGGAAGGATACAGTCGGCATGCAGAGCATGACTGCCTGTTATTAGACCGCCAGTCCATCCTAAGCTAACTTGACAAAGTAAAACATTTAGTTAAAAATGCATTTTTTCGAGTCTTAAACCTGTGGCGCAGGCTGTTGCTTTTGTCAAGCTGCTGTTTTATTTCCAGCCCGTTGGCCCTTTCCCACCGAAACTGCGCCTGGACGCTGCAGCTTTTGACCCGGTGCTCGTATACGAGCAGAATCTGCAGTTCCGGCAGCGGATGAACTGGTCATGTGACTGAAGATACCAGAGAACAAAGAAAGAGAGCCAAACGACAGGTTAGCAGAGAGAAAAGGCCATTGAGTTTCAGCGGCGGAAAGCAGACACAGTAAGCGGCAGGAGGAAAGAGAGGTGTGGGAGGAAGCAGAGAGGTGTAGGACAAGGTCGAGGAGGATGGAGACAGTCGACGGGGGCAAAAAAGAGGGAAGAACTCGAGAAGAACCTTAGGCAGAAGGCAGAGAGAAAGTCGCGAGCGTGTCTGCACGCACAGCTGACAGCACAAACAAGTGCACACGAATGCAAGATTGAGAGAAGTGCATACAGAAAAGGTGGTTGTGTGTTTGTCCCGATGCGTGGGGTAGGGAGGCAGCGAAAAACTCCCTGATGTGCCTCCATAGCCAGCTGATACCACACGCACTTGTGCATGAGCACAAAACAGACAAGTGAAGACAGAAAAGAAAGAAAGATTGGTGCACACTCGTTGAATGCGTGTTGGCTGCAGTCCCCTTACCTTTCGTTGGAAGCAAAGCCACAACAGATACCCTGACCGCGTAACGGACAGCGGAGTTCGGTCTTAAAGCACCTGTAGTACATGGGCACCTGGGCCTAGGCCCTGACACATCAAATTCTGGAGGCGCGAAACTAAAAACGCGACTGCCCCAATCAAATTTATCAATGGCAGGTCCAAGGTTTGACGTTTCGGCCTCATTTTCTTGGGGCAACAAGTTTCGGACGGCAACGCTGGGGCCGTGTACTTGTGGTTTAAGCGCTCGAGTCCATGTGTGTGGACTACCAGCCATACGATGTGCAAGTGGCAAGATGCAGGCTCGCAGGAAAACCGGGCCCATCCACAAGTCCCAACTACAGCAGCACTATGTATATAACACAAACAAAAACTTACGTTTTTGAGGACGAGGGACCGAACGGTTCCATCACTGGAATGGTTTCATGAGGAACGCACCCTGACAACAGAGGACAGTGAAGGACTTGCTGTCCGTCCCTTAAAAACAACAACACCATCCACTGTTGTTGGTGTTTTTTCCAAGAAGGGTGAGCAACTGAAGAAATGAAGGGGAACACGGAGCAACAGAAACTTCACGCCGCAACAATTTAGTAGGTGGGACAGCGAGGGTGGTGCTCACCAGAACACTTCATGCACACAGAGAGACGGCAAGAGAGCGAGGACGAGAATGGAGGAGGAGGAGGAGGAGGCAGAGATTTAGTAGCACAGTAAAGCCCCTTTAATTGCCCAGGGTCTAGAACAAGCGCACACACCCAGACAGGGCAGAGACGAGGCCTTCCATTCTGATTGGAAGTGACAAGTTTCTCGCCCTTTTGATCGGAAGTCACTACGCTCTTGGTTCGCCTTGGTGGAGTCCTGTCACAGTGCTGTTTCGTCATAGTGTACTTGAACCTCATCTGTACCGGAATTCGCTTGCAAGTTCTTAGACAAACAGCCATGGAGCATATACATCGCTCTCAAACTCCTCTTGCTCAAGAGGCATGCCGAGGGCTTCAAGATATGTCTATGCAAGGCAGACAGGAGAATCCCACTGAGTGGTAGGTACTCTTTGCTTCAGTAAACAAAAGTCGCACTATCTACCAATGTGCCAGCAAATGCTGTGTTCGGGAATCAAAACATGGATGCATCATTCACAACCTGCTCAAGTGTGCTCCCGAAGGAGACCCCACATACCTCAAGAGCGCAATAAAGGCAGGCAGGTACGTAGGCAGGTACGTAGGCAGGCATGCAGGCAAGCATGTAGGCAGGCACGCACACAGACAGGCAGGCAGGCATGCACGAAGGATACGCCGACCAGCATGCTGACCGGCATGCAGGCATGCACGTGGGTGGGTACGCAGTGAGCAGGCAGGCTGGCAGGTAGTCAGGCAGTCGAACATGCAAGTACACAGGCGGGCAGGGAGGCAAGCACGCAGGCAGGCATGCTGGTCAGTAGACAGGCAGGCAGGTGCAGAGGTGGGCAGGAGGTGGGTGGGCAGGCGGGCAGGCCGGCAAGAAGCCAGACATGGTGGTTCTTGAAGGGATATCCCAGCACACAGGCAGGTAGGTGCAGACGAGGTGGGCACGTGGGTGCGCAGGCGGGCAGGGTGGAAAGAAGGCAGAGGTGGTGGCTCAACATAGCATGATGGAGTTTGCAAGACAGCAAACTGGTGAACGAATGCACACTTTCAATCAACCAGCAACATCGCCACAGAATATTATCTTAACATGCACTCCAACCGCAAATTTGTTACGTTTAGAAGACAACAATATACTTGCCACATTAAGGTGCCCAATCTTAAACCATAAGCAACCGGTCTGCTATCCAGCTACCGTTGCAGCTGATGCAGCATACTTGGTTCCTGTCTGCAGCAGCAGTAATCACTGGAAGCTGAAGACCGACACAGAGAGAGAGAGAGAGAGAGAGAGAGAGAGAGAGAGAGATCCCGAATAAATTTCATATAGAGTGTAAAAGCTTGAAAGCTTGGCGGCAGAAATTACGTATCTGAAAGATATTAAAGAGGAGATTGTGATCAAACAGACGTGCCATCCGCCTTTTCCCCCAGCAGTCCTTTTTGCGATGGAGCAGAAGGTCGACATGTATGCTGTCTAACGGAGACACAAGCAAGGAGGAGGGGCAATCACAGAAAAAGATATATCAAAGAAAGCCAACCACAGTTTGTGATAAACGAATATAGCCCTGAAAGCTGGAGGGTACATACGCACACGGGCGGCACTATGGCCCGTTGTTGGTGGGTGGGGTTCACCCTGCTGCTGCCGTACCAGATGCAACATCATCTCAGAAGTTTTCGCTCGCAAAGGCAACATTACCAGACCACTTTACTCCATGCCCCGTCTCAGGCCTCTCCAAATCTGCACACAGCCAATGTCGCACAATCAAAATAATAACCACATAACTTCATCACGCTCCCCCCTTTCTTTCCCTTTCACCTGTGCCCATCACTCCTTGCCACAATTACATCCAAAAACAGGGTTCAGACTCGCATCCTGGACTCTCTGCAGTAACAATTAACGCATCAACAAAAATTGCAGCACTCGCAACCACCATAATAGATATGTCCCTCCAAGCCCGCCCAAATCACTTGTAGGCGTGCATTTTTCAGCGAGAGTAGTTGGATGGAAGTAAAACCATGCCACACCGGCAGACCCTATTGTCGTTTGTGCAGGATTCTCTACACTCTGCCACCATGCAACCTCAGGCTTTCAGCACAAGTCTCACCCGACCGCCGATGACGGTTTGGCTGTGCGCCGCCGCTTGCATACAGGGAGGACACGCAGTGGTCTTGCGAATGCACCCAAGCGCAGCCCAACGCATACTGACACCCGAGACACAACTCCGCGGGCCATTAGGTCCGGCGTGCCCTCTGGTGTGCCCTCACTGCTCGCTAACGCCAAAGAAATGCCCAACCACATTCCGGAAACAACGCTGCGGCCAGCTCCACATCGTAGCTGCCATCACAGTACAGTCCCACCTCTAGCCGCTTTGCTCCCAAGCGAAGAAAGGTCGACACAGGACAATTGTTAAACAGCATTCAGAGACACAAAGGACACAAAGTACCATCACACCAATGTACATGTCTATATATAGACTGTTTCGTCAGAGTTTCACTGACTCATCGGGGGGCTGGTAATTGTCACAACGTACATAATACATATTCACATCCAGGTGCAGGTCTAATACACGTAACCCTAAGAAGAGATAAGAGTGTGTGTGTGTGTGTTGGGGTGTGTGTGTGTGTGTGTGTGTGTGTG